CGTCGGGCGGGGAGCCAGGCTTTGCTACATGGCCAGCGGCCTGCGAAACCTGACTGTGGGCCCCAGCCTGAATATTGAGCTCAGACTTAATGCTTCCTGTCCAGCTTAGCGTTTGTTTTCGATCCTTACAGTTATTTATTTTTATCCTTATCCTGGAGGGAATGAGGTGTGCAGACCGTGGGCAAGGTCAAGGCCCAGGCCGCCAGGGGACAGGACGTGGATGCCCGTGGGATGCCTGCGGTCGCCTGCTCCGAGGTCTTTCCCCTCGTGCCTTCCCCCGCCGGGCAGTTCATGCCGGAGCATCCCAGCCGCTGCGAGGAGGAGCGGAGCGGCTCTGCTGCCTCTCACACACAAAATAAGGGACATGGGGGATTTTTTTTCCCTGAAGTGGTGGCAGGAATGTTCCACCTTGGTTCAGGTCCCAAAAGGAGACGTTGTTTGCTGCAGTGTTTCCCCATATGTGGAAAAATAAAAGCTAAGCTCTTCAATTCAGAGTCAGGATGGATTCTGAGAACCAAAACCTTCCATGCTGTTCACAAAGGAGAGAGGAAACGCTTTCCCTTTTTCATACAAAATCTCATCAACTCCACACAACGTGTTTCCACGCAAGGCAACCCCCTGGCACTGGGTACTCCCCAGCCCACTCCCCTGCAAAATAACCCTCCTGCTTTCAGCCCCGCGCCACGGGGACACGCTGACCCTGGGACACGGAGCAGGTCGCTGCAGTGGAATAAGGCATCGATCCGGCGCTGGGTTTTGTTCGAGACGCTTTGCTCAGGCGTTGGAGCTCCCTCCATCCCTCCCCATCGCTGTCAGGGCTGGCCTGGATCCCCTGCCCATCTGCACCTGCCTGCTCACAGGTAACCCGCCCATCTTCTGGGCAGCCGTATCCACTCCCCTCTTATCACAGGCGGCTGTAATCTAACCCCATAACTCCCTTGTAGAAGTCAGCCTGCCTGGCTCCCAGGGCTGTTAGGGCTTATTTCAATGAAGGTTAGGAAACAAATTTACATCCTAATCCCACAGCAAGCACCTATCTCTTTTTGCATCACTCCTGGCTTTCAGCTTATCCGGGGCATACCCAAGTGAATTTCACACCCTGATGGTTTAAGCTGCTTTAGGGCAGCTGCCCCGGGGTTGCAGCTACATCCCCTGACCCCCCCACAGCTCTTCACTCACAGCTCCTCTCGGTGCTAATGCCTTCACTTCGCTCCTCTCCTTTCAAGCCCTGCGGAGCTCAGGAAGGGCTGGCTGTGAGCACTTACACCATGCATCTCCGTAAGGGAACAGTTATTCAGGTGCTGGTGTTCTCCAGCAGTCCCGGCAGACGTGGCAATGCCTCTGCTGTGGCAGAGTGGGCAAGATGCAAGGAAAAGTGTAAAAATAGGCTTGTGAATCACCGAATTCAGAAGCTCAGTGCAGTCAGACCTCCTAAATCATCATTTGTGATGGGGAATACCCTTCTTTCAGCACAGACTCTTCATTTTTGTTCCCATGCACTGAGTGATGTGTTCATAGTCCTGCTTTACTACAGTGCTTCGTAGCTGGCTGTTCTGCATGTTGTGCCATGTGTTCATGCAAACGGTATTCACAGGAGCCGTCATGACACCGACATCCCATGGAGTGGTTTCCAGCTTCTGGGGTCACCCAGAAAACACACGCCAACAGCGTAGCGCAGCACAGAAACCATCAGAGCCTCAATTTTAATGAACCCAAAGCAAGACATGGGGAGATTGCGTTTTCCTTGCTTTGAAACACCTTTGAGAGGGGCTTTTCCCCTGTTCTGCATTTATCCCAGCAGTATTTGAGGGCTGCTCTCGTCCAGCTTTACGGTCTGTCTGTCCTCTTGAGTGGCAAAGGCAGGCAGGACCGCCTGGACACTTGGTGCCCGTGGAGGGCTCAGTGAGTTCAGCCAAGAAAAGGGAAGAGCTGCCTGAGCAGAGCGCTACTGAAATCACCCCGGTGGGATATGAAACATGGATGGGGCTGTGAACACTGCTGTTAGAGCTGATTTATTCCTGGCGCCTCGCAGTGGTGCTGCTGGGGAGGCTGTACAACGAAGACACATTGATCCACGGTTAACGGTGGCCACGCAGCATTGTCCTCCCCCTCGATCAGTCCATAGGTTTTCACATGGAGCTGGTGGGGGATGAATTTTCTTTCCATATGTAAAAATGATCTATACCAGGATTTCTTATTGCTGGGTTCGTTCTGCCTCTGAAGGTTTTAATTTTGGTGCAGAATGCTCCTTGGAAAAGAGGCGATTTTTATTCTTTTTTCCACAAAGTGTTTAATAATTTACAGCCAGTGGGTGTTTTCAGGTTGTCCTAGGCAGTATTTTGGGAGTGGTGATGGAAGGAGGAGGTTGTTCAGAATGCAGCGCTCACAGGCAGCTGGCTGGGGATCACCTTAATTACCTGCAGAAGCCAAAGCGCTGCTTGCTGCCCGGGCTGATCCAGGTTTGTGCAGGAGGAGGAGGCAGCAGTGACTCACACTGGGAGCCAGACCTGGCATGACGCAGCCAGGACCGTGGGGTGACACAGCAAGCCAGGGACGCACACGGACTCTGCCCAAGCCAGCTCGGTGTCAGCCACCATCCACCGGAGAGCTGTTTGCGTCTCTGCTCGGCATTGAGCTGGGCACGCAGAAAGAGCTGGGAGCATTTTGGTGTAACAAACACAAGCGTGACATAATGGCTTAAATAAATGTGATCAGGTGGGACTTTGAAAGGCTGGGAGTCTCTTCAGTGAGCTGGAGGAAGGTGGGGAATCCTGCCATGTAAAACCCCTTTCACAGCTGTGCCAGGAGGGTTTGTGCCTGCAAGCCCTACCTTCAGGCTCTGTTATTTATGAATGCACCCTGCACTCAGGTTTCCTGTGCTCTCCCAGTCCCCAGGCAAACGTGGCCACCCTTATCCCCTTGAGGTCCACCTGCCACATTCCTCCAGGCCTTTCACCTGGGCCCTGTGCAGAAGATGGAGCTGCTCTGAAGCGGCAATTCCTGGGTACAGGGTATACCTGAACACCATCCCTGTGCTATGGATGCTCTGTGATCTGCATTAGCTGCCTGTGATTTCAAGGGGCAGATATAAAAGAACTTGTGAAATTCTCTTTCTCACAGCTGTGCTAATTCATTAACACAAGTTCATGAACTGTTTCTGCTCTATCAATGAGCATGTCCTGCAGTCAGTAGGATCAGCGGGCTTTAGAGAATGCTTGGAGAAAGCCGGCACTTCACCCCTTTCCCAGCCCACGCCTACATGGGCTGGGCCAAGTGCTGGCCCCACTAAGGGAATGGGGTGCCTTGAAGTGACAGAATTTGAGAGGAACAGGCTGCGGGGACAGAGGGGAATCGAGGGGCAGCGGACATGGGGGTTACAGAGTCCTGCTTCCAAATTTCTGCAATTCAGCCATATCTGCCCATCCCTTCACAAAAGAGCTCTTTGGCCATGAAGTTTCTCTCTGTGTAACACAGCATGTAGCCCCCAGGTGGGGAGGAGAAGACATCAGCCACAGAGGGCCAAATGACACTGATGTCTTTCTATTCCTACCAGCTTATTACCCACCCACCCCAGCCACACGCAAACATAAAAAAACCAGCCAAACTGTCAGTTTCTGCTGTTTTTTTTCTATTTTTTTTTATTTGGCATTAAAAGGATTGCACCTTCTGATACAGATCATCTCTGACACCTATACAAATAACTTATAATCCATCTACATCATTTACAACTGTACAGAGTAAACTCTGGACACCGCAGACCACGCTCCAACCCAGCGCATGGTCTCTTGGCTTTTTAAGCATTTGGCTTGCGTGCCAGGGTACATGAACCCCCCAATGAAGCCCCAAGGACACAGAGGTGTGAGATCACCCCTTAAACCCCCTGTTACCCTGTGCAGCAGGTCACAGAGGAAAACAGCTGGTGCAAGCAGGTGTTTCCTGACTTGTTTCGAGCCTTCTGTCTAACTTCAGCTTCCTTCAGGGCCCAAATGCTTGCTGCCTAAGTCTGGCATTGGTGGGCATCAGCAATTTTTTATTTGTGAGCAAATGGAGGTGAAAAACAGTACTGAAGAACTGAACACTGTTGCTGAGATCCTGCAGCTTTGTGACTCCTACGAGGGGATGTTAAGGCTTGGGGACTGTGCTTGGCTCAGCCGGGAGCGAGGGGCTACATCTGCCAGCATTTCAAGGTAGCTTCCTTAGGAAATGGTCATGTTGCTGTTGCCCAACATGATCCTTCAACTGTTGGTGCTGGTTTGGGATTAAATATTTCTTGGGACCTAGGGGCTTTTTACACTGCTAAATAATCCATCACCTGCCGACAGCTCTAGAGCTGCTGTGCCCCCAGTAGTGTATTTCAGCGGTTGTTTTGGACTGCATGGTACATTCAAAGTGACAGTGAATAAACCTTTAGCTTGGGAACAAGAAGTGACAATGCCTGCTGTGCCAGGTGACATTGCAGGACAGGAGCAGGAATATGGCAGCCCTGTGCTTGTTGGCAAAGAGAGGGACCGGGGAAGTCTGAGAGTTGAACCCCTAAAGCCTTGTGCACGTGGCAAGAAGATTTCTATGGGGCCTAACCAGCCAGACAACCCACAAGCTCAGAGCAGTTCTGCGGAAGGGAAAATCCTCTCCAGTACCCCAGACTGGGATACCTGGAGGTGGGCTCCTTGTTCCAGGTGTGGGTGGTTAAACAGAAGTGACTTTCCAGAGGTGCAGCTCCCCAGGGCCAGGCAGACTTGGCACGGAAAAGACAGAGGGGTGGATTTGTCCCCAGCCATTGGGGCTAACACAAGGGTTTGCCAATGCCACTGCAGCTGGGTCAGCATCACCCTGTAGCATAGAGCTGGCTCCAGGGACCCCCCATCAGTGACAGCCAGAGATGACCAGGAATAGCTGCTATGCACATATACAAAGCTAAAGGACACTTTCTTTGGGCTGCTGATCCAAACAAGCACCCCTGAGTGAAGGCAACCCAGGTAACGAGCTATCTGGGAGCCGAGAGAATTAAAAAAAATGATAGTGTCATAGAAGGAATGCCCCCAAATCCCCTCCAACGTGAATTTAGGGAAGACTCCCCAGAGACACCCCAGAAACCACAGATCACATTCAGAAAGTTAATAAATACACACCGTGTTTCGACCATTATTTCAGTCAGCCACAAACTGGAATGAAGACAGGGTCCTCCTAGACGATCATCCTTAACACCGGCTTAGTCTGAGCCTGGGTGGAAGCAGGAGCTGTGCTGTCACTGCTCAGCCTGGCCCATCTGCAAACCAGAGGAGGGTTTCTACACCGTGGTAGCAGCAGAGGAAAGGAAAGGAGGAGTCTTGCAGGCATCCTGCCCATCCATCATTCCCAGGAGCACTACTCCACTCTTCTACATCTCTTACCCGCACAGCAGACACAGAGCAAACCAGGACTGCAAGGCAGGCTGGGATGCAGAGGTATTGCTGGCTGACCTCACGGAGGAGGTCCGCTGCTGCCGGGGTTGTAGGTGTTCTTCCCGGGATGTACAGCTGGAGAAACACAACCGGCGCTTATGAGGCTCCAGACCAGATGCGGAGAGGTTGCACAGTGAAGCAACAGTGAAATCCCGTGTGGGCTCAAAGGTACAGCTCAGATGCCAAAGAGCTGTTGTGCAGCCTCCGTTGCCTGCTCAAAGAAGGTTTCTTCTTCAAGCGGATCTATACCGTTCACGGCCGAACATATCCCACAGCACTGCCCGGGCAGCCTGAGCTGTTCTTGCCCTGTTCATCACTGCCAAATATTGCACCAGATTTCCCATGTCCCTGTTTCACGCCATTCATTGTTACTTTGTGTGGCCCCTTTGAAACAACAGCAGGTTTTCCACCAACTTCCATAGAAGCTGTGTTAAACACACATGCTCTCCCTGTTGTGGTCAGGCTTACAACAAGCTTTCCTAAATCAGTCAGAGGAATAGTTGCTGGTTTGCCCAAATACATCACCCTGTGCCAGAATGAAGAGTTTGCTGTGCAGAACCCCACGCAACAGGCCCTGATCCCCTGCTGGGCTGTGAGATATCACCATAATAAATATTACCGATAGCAACTGCTCTGTGATCCACAAGCACAGCGAGCACCATCACCACAGCTGTATTTTCCCCAGTCTTCCTGAAATGAAGAAGCTCAAAGGTTTTCCCTGACTTGTGCAAAAGGTTAAAACTCAGTTCTTCAGCAATGCTCTGCCCCTTGGCAGGGGGGTGTTGGCTGTGGTCATCCCTGTCATTCAGCAGGGCACAGCTGTCCTCCCTGAGCCCTATCAACCTCTGCTGTTGCAGCTTTTCACACCATTACCATTGTAAAATCACTGTTGGTGGCTTTTAGTGTGTTTTCTTTTTCCGTCTCCTCTATGATGACCCAATGTCACATCTCTCACGCCAGCTTTTTCTCATTTTCTTCATTGGATGATGCCTGCAAATGTGTTGATGGGCAACAGCAGAGACTTGGGCATGTATTTCACAAGCCCCACATCTTCTGTTTCATGCAGGCTGAATTTCATTGTCCTTGTCTTTTGCAAGCAGTAGCTGGGCTCTAGGCAAGGAGACACTTCCACGCTGCAAGAGCACAAGAACATATTTACTGCATGGGCAAATCTGCCCTTGAGGGCCAGAGTCTGATCTCAGACTAAACATCAGGTCTCTCCACTGACTGCTGAGGGAGGGCTGTCATATTGAGATGTGCAGCTGCTTTTATTCTTTTTCAACTGGTTTTGGCTGGAAAGATGAGCTGATGTGTATTAGTGTTTGACCACAAAACCAGTGTCATTAGCCTGGCTCAGTTCAATTCTCAGAAATTCACATTTTATGTATGTTCCACATGGCCCATGGACCATGAACCACCTGTCTGTTTGCTTCCAACACATCACATATCATTGCAATTACTATAGGCACATTGATCCCTGCTATTTTCACAGGGCTGAATTCTCTCCCCCTACCTTCATATGCTTGAGATACCCTGGTGAGGAATGCAGTCAGTGAGAGAGCATCAGCTCCACAATATAATTAAGGAGATCTAAGATAGTCTGTCCCTGGAGGTACCTATCTTTCTACTGTCTTAATGACAGCACTTTACTTAAAATGGAAGAACCATTTTGTTTCTCACACCATCACCCGAAAACACAAAGGAGGGAGAGCACCACTCTGCTCTGCTTTCCCTGGAGCAGCAAAGTGTTTGCCCATGGGTCTTTTGTCATGTATGAGGATCAGGACTAGGACTCCCTGGAAAACAGCTCTGCCACCTTGGGAGCCCTTCCAGGGAGGGATGCAAGGTCACTGGTAAGATATGCAGAGCCTGGCACGCGTGCCATTCTCACCTGATCACGTTCCTGTAGGCTCTTCTGCTGTCCTTGTCCAGACACACCGTGAAGGGCCTCTGCTCTGTGCTCCTGATTTTGATATTGCGTGTTTTCAACCTGTTTGCCACGGCCTAGATTGTGAGAGGAGGAAGAGTCCAGTGAGTGTCTCACTTCCCTTCCCTTGGCTGCGTGGTGATGGGTGGTGTGTGCATGCCGGGTATGAAAGGGACAAATGATGACGTCTCTCTTTTTTTAACCTCAGATGTGACATAAGGTGATTTCTTTAAGGAGGGAAGTGTCTCTCTTGTCCTTTTTCTGTTATCACAACCTGGTGAAATTTTGCAAGGGCAAACTTTCCAAACTGGCAATGCTTGCACAGGTTGCAAGATTTGAGATGTCTGATGTGGGGCATGGTCTGTTCTCCAGGGCCATGGTGTATCTTGGTGGGCAGCGTGGGCTGCAGTACCTTGGTGTTTCCAAAAGCCAGGTGAAAATAAGCAAAAGTGTGCTGGTTAGCTAAAAATACCAGCTGAGAGACTGGAGGCACCAGAGCCCAAATGACCAAGGTACAATAATACTTAATGCCACCCAAACTGCCGTGACACATTCCCACAGGGCAGCATGTCCTCTGGGGTCTACTTGAACTCTCATGTAAAACAAGAAGACTGGAGCCCAAGTTTTCAGTCCCATCTCTTGTATAGCCATCTTTCTGAGTTGGTAATTAGATTCATTGAAGTTCCTGCTTCTTGTTTATGCTTTGTTAAAATATTTCTCCAGTGGCCTCTATTCTCATGAGCTCGGTGGGGATTAACACATGGGGTCTGGGGAGGGCACTGCAGCTGGAGATGTGGAGCTAATGGAGTTGATCGCAAAACTACAGACCCTCTCCTGTACCCAAGTGGAGCCACGATGACTAGGGCTCAGCCTTATTTCTCGACTTCATCCCTGGGGCCACAGAATCACCCCAGCAGCAGCTCAGTCCTCCAGAGTTTCCTGAGACAGGATTCAATGGGACACTGAGCAGCAGGGATGCCGTCTGGGGCTTTGGCTCAAAAATCTAGACTTTTCCATGGAAAGTAATTGCAAATCACTCTCTGAGCAGGGTGGCCCCAAAACCTTCTCCTCCCCCACAGAGTGTTTCCCCTTTCACCGTTGTCGTAAGGGATTTCCATGCATGGGCCAACCCCTCCAGGGCTGTGAGCATCCACATCTACTTACTGAGAACGATCGTCCTGACAAGTTGTTGATCCTAACGATTTCGGCGATGTTCACATTCAGACACACCAGATCTGCAACAGAAACAGCACGTTAGACTTGGACCATGGCTCGATCTCAGCTCAGCTTCGAGGGGGGCTGGTTCCAGATCCCACACTTGGGTGCACTGCCAGGGGTCCGTGAGATATATAGGACAGCAGAAAAGGAGGACTCTAGCAAGCTCCATGGGCTAAGGGTTTGCGTGGGGTCATGCTCAGGGTGGAAACCTCAGAGGCTATGTTAAGGGCAAGGAGAGAGAGGAAGACTGCAGCAAGATGCTTCCAAGCCTAGATTGTGGTTATGCTGAACCCCATGTTACAGGGAGCCCCAGGCACGTCATTCATGAGAAAATGCACAACCACAAACTGTGGTGACACCAATATATGCACGTCACTGATTCAACCCCCACAGCGCAAGCACGTAGCGCTAAGTACTATGGTCAGGGTTACTCTACTGAGCACCAGAAAACTCAGCAAACCCTCTTCGCAAGGCCTCAAGCAGGAAGAACCCACCTTCAGCCTCGTCAGCTGGGATGGCTTTCATCACCAGACCTGTGGAGCGCAGGGACATCGCCAGCTCCTTCGCCCGGTCGCTCACCACAACCTGCAGGAAAGGCTCTGTTAATTCACCCTGGCAGAGAGGTTAGACATGGAGAGGTTTGGGGGCATTTTTTCACAAATGCAGCATTAGCTAACAGGCTTTTAAAATTCACCACAACCTCTCTGTCCTCTCCTGGAGTACAAGTCCAGAGGAGAGAAGGAGGGCCAGAGCACTCCTTTTGGGAGATTTGTGCCGTGCTGGGGGTTCCTGTGGACAGAGACATTTTGGGCTCCCTAGAGCCCCACTTACCTTTCTGTATGTTACTGTGAGATCTATGCCAGGGCCATCCAGGGTCGTTTTCCTCTTGGTCATGCTTAACTCTGCAAGGAAAGAACCGGGTAGGATTGAGGTTTCGCTCATCCCAGCTGCTGTCTGTGGTCAGTAGAGAGGGGTCCTCCAATGGAATGAGCCACCCCCTCGGTCACACAGCAGTTGTGGTCGGGCGCACCGGCCCCTCTCTCCTTGCCTATGGGAGCTGAGGCTCTGTGCACTTAACAGGTCCAGTGAGATGGACTCGATTGAGGGTCTGTGCCCAACCGCAATGGCAGGCATCCATTGGATCAGACACTGGGGTGCACTGATGGAAGGGCTGGATGTGACCTCTGTAACAGTCCAGCCTTCAAGCACCCTTGTCCCATCACTGGCAACTCCAGGAAGCAGAATTTCTAATAGGGAAAACATCTGGCAAAGGGGATGGCTGTAAAGCCCAGCTTGTTTCCTCAGTAAAAAGATGATGTTGGTTCAACTTCAGAGGGTCATGAAGCCAACCAAAGCCACAGTCTACAAAACCAGGCTGAGACCTGGCCAGTGACCACAAAGTCTCTCATTTAGCCTGGCGTCACGCGCCCAAGAGGGAGATGGAGATGTTTGGGGAGGCCTCCTGCTCATCAGGGAACAAGGGATATTGCCCCATGGCATGGCCTTGACTGCTGCAGGCTGAGGGACAGGATGAGTGGGAGGTGGGGCCGGCAGGACCCCCGCCCTGGATGGCAGCCCCTGCTGCAGGGCTCAGCTTGGGGGGACATACGCACCTCTGTGGGAGATGCTCTCCTGCACCTGGGTGCGCAGCTCTGTGAGGAACACATCCTCGGCCGGTTCCTGCGCCGGGTCGTTGAAGAAAATCTGAAAGACAGGAAAATCTCTAAGAACAGCTCCTCCTCAGTCACCCTGTGACATCACACTGGGCTTGTGACATCAAAAGGTTCTCCAGAGCACCCAGGTGTGACATCATCAAAGGGAATGTATGACCTCATCATGGCAGCCGGGGGGCTATGGGATGGAGAGAACTCCTTTTGCTCTGCTTTCTGAAGCCCAGGAGTGTTACAAGCCTTGCCAGGAGCCCGGTGGCCCTGGCCAGCAGAGCCACGGGCAGTGTCCCCTGCCACTGGGTGTCACTGCGCACTCACAGATGAGTCTGTTCCCAGCCGTCCACCCAGAGGCAACCCAGGTGAAGGGAAGCAGGTTCCCAGGCCTGACTGCAGATGCTGGCTTAGCTTCAAGGCACGTGATTTCTCTATCTGATACACCTAAATCAACTGGTCACTTCAGACCTGTTAATTATTTTCTTGTCATGGGCTTGTTTTGAGCAAAATGCGAGGATAAGGTCCTGGAGAACCTCTCCTAGCCCTATGTCCAACTCCTGTGGGACCTGACCTCACTTCCAGGAAAACTCTCTGCAGCCAAAGAGGAACAGTGTGGTCTTAACCAAAAAGGCAAAACAGGCTTAGTGTTTCTAGATGAAGCAGCATCACACCCTGTATGACAACAGGGTAGGTTAGGTGCTTCTATCTGAAAACCACATCAGGAGTCAGTTCTTCTTCCCCTGCTTGAGTCACCCACTCTCTCACTTCCTTTTGATTTTTGTCTTGGAGGATAAATGAGTGGAATAAAAATTCATCAAAAAACCAAAATCCCCAGCCACACAAGCTGAGGACCAGGTGCTCCAAGTGTTTACAAGCTACATGTTATTAGTTCAAGTCCTAGTGATGCTCTACCAGTAATTACCAAAGCTCTTCCAGCTCTTTGCAAGCCACATGCCAGTTTGCTCATGAAATGGCTGCTCCTTTGCTGCAATAGGTTACCACATTGGCTATGAGTAGATTAAAAGGAGATATGTGCATCGGTGGCACCCTAAGCTTTGAAGGGGGAAAACTGCCAGAGCAGCAGATGCGGGGCTGATGTTACATGACCGAATACAGTAGTTCTTTGCTCTCGTATCAAATGCCAGGTCTCACTCTGATACCGTTTCAGAGAAAAACTGGCAGGAAATAAATAAAACGATGTTTCAGGAAGCCCTGCAAAGCCCCTGCAAGGTACAGGAAGGTTTTGGCGAAGCCACTCAGAAAACTCCTGTTTGCTTACAGCATCTAAAGCAGCAGGAGGTGCCAGAGCTCCTGAGCTAACCCCAGTCCAGCAGAGCAGGAAATCTGTGTCCTTACAGGGTAATTCCAAGGTTCACTTTGCTGACCCGCGTGATCCTGAAATAGCCTTCCCGGGATCGTTTGCTCTGGCTGAGCTGTGCTACAGGGAGCCGCTAGACCCGAGAGTCTGGCAAGGAGGGAACAGGCTGGGGAGCACAGAGATCCAGGCTCAGATCTGCCAAAAGCCCCCGGACCCCATCGACTCTGCACAGCTCTGCCAGCAGTGGGGCTCTGCAAGCCCTTGCAGGGCCACGTGAAGGCACAAGAGATGCGGCACCCACCTTCACAGCGTAGACCTGGAAGCAGACAGGCTGGAAGCCCATGCGGACGTAGTAAGCAATCACATCAGTGATGAACAGATCAGTCACAAGATGTTTGCTCGGAGAGGAAGGCTGGGGGGCAAATCATATTATGGATCAGCCACAGTCACTTCTCAAAAACACTGCCACAAACCCTCACGCCTTCCTAGCTAAATAATGAGCAATGAGCTGTCACCCAGGGCAGCACTGAGTGCCTCTGCCATAACTAGTAAAAGCGAATGGGAGAAGCGAAAGCTTGCGCCCACCTACCAGCCTTTTTTGTAGGCTATCGATGGTGGCTCAAACTGCCAGGAAATGAGAGCCTGGGGTATTTCAGCAAATGCCTCATTTACATTTTCTTTCTTGAAATCTGCCATTTCCTGTCCCTTGGCCAAAAAAGCCCATCACACAGCGAATGGGTCTTGTGGGCTGGCGGTGTCAGCCTCAAGCACCTTCCCAGCTGCCGGGCCCGGGGAGGGGTTTGCAGGGAGAAATCCTTTATCTGGGGCATGGAGGAGCCCTGCAGGGCACGAGCTCATCCTCAGATACGGCAGACGTGTTTGGGAAACGGGCCAGTTTGGGGAGGTGGGAAGGTTTCCGTCTTACCATGGTGGCCAGCTTGGGAATCATGTGGCAGAGCGTGTTGATGTTGCTCTCGTACCACGGGTCGGCTCTGCCCAGGTACCCGGCCACCTCGCAGAGCTCCTCTTGGCCGGTGGCAGCGTGGTCCTGCGGGAGAAACACACAGCTCAGAGTAGGATCATGGCTGAAAATACTGGAAGCCGTAGAGGAGGCAGAGGGAGCTGGGGCACGAATGCCCTGTGAGCAGCTCCCCCATCCCTCCACCTTCCCTGCTTGGTCCAGAGAAGACAGCAAAACATTTCTTGCAGCACTTGTTTAGAAGGTGCTCAAGAACAAAAATTAAGTGAAGAATGAAAAGAAGAAATACTCATTTTTATAATGGCACATTTGTCAGGACTCACAGCCAGCTCTGGGCCAGTTTAAAATATTGTGAGAAGTGCGACTGTTTATTTATTGCTGTCTCGAGGCTGTCAGAAGGGAAGAGATTTGCCCAAGATAAACTGCAAGGTAGTGACTTGCAGAACTAAAACTGGGGCCACGACCAAGCAGGCAAAGCCCTCTGTAAGGGGTGACCGCTTCCCCTAAGTGTTTGGGAGGTGAGAAAAGCATCAGTCCTTTGCTAAAGCTCCCTCGATCCTCCTATAGCTGGGGCATAGCAGCAAAACTGAATACCATTTCTAGGCTGTGAGTTATCACCTGTCAGGGTGGTTGGAGCAACCTGAATGTCTCTGGAGCTGATGGATTCCTGAAATCAGTCTGCAAACTGAGCCCAGCCGCCCTTCCTTGGCTCCCCTCCTCCTGGTTCTAGGAACTAGGCATTAACAGATGTGAATTCCTGTAAACCTCCCTGCTCTTCCTCCAAAACCACCGTCAGCTGCTGGCAGCAGGCGGCAGTGCCTGGAGCTGCCGAGCCCAGACTCACCGCAACGGCCAAGGTGTTTGGCTGCCCTGTCACGACCGGGATGTAGTAGAATTGCAGGTTCAGCCTGGGAGTCAGGAAAACTCGCCGTGTTTCTCGTTTCCTTGAAATGGAAAAATAAATAGCTGTGTCACAAGGGGAAGGTGGAGGAAAATGGCCCTTGGCCAAGGCTAGGCAGTGCCAGTAGACCACAGCTGCTCTGCAACAGGAGCTCATGCCCTCTTTGCCCAGTGTGACAGAATGACAGCGATGCCCCCAGGTTCCCAAATCCGGCAAGGGGAGATGATGGGGTTAAGGGGCGTCCCGCAGATGGCCTCTCAGCTGGGACCAGCAGCCCCCTCTGCACCCAGCTCTGCTCCCCAGGCTGCTGCCTGCACCATGACCCAGACCCATCCCACATTGGTCTCCTGCCCCGGGTGAGCTCGCTGGGCAGCTGGAAAACATCTTTTCTTTAGGATTTTTCCCTTTTGCATGGGAAAACATCTTGCCTCATTTATTGTTCGTTTAACCCATTCCACAGACAGAAGGGAAAAACTCCCTGTGTGCATCTTTTGGGCCAACAGAGCCAAATGATGCCATGCATCTGGTGAAGATGGATGCATCTGGATGCAAAACACCTGGGCCCCATCCTGCCTCAAGTAGCACCAGAGCCCAACCCCATCCCCAGCCATCCTGGCTGCTTCAACAGGCTGAAGAGCAAGCCCCCACTCTGTCCTCCCTTTCCTCAAGCCCCCAGAGCCAAAGAGCTGTGGCCACTGGTTACCTCAAAGAGTGGTAGGCTTGGGCCAGGCGCCCCAGGATCCGGTCATCCCCCAGCAGCACGATGCGGGCAGTGTGCAGCCTCTGGAGCGGGGCTGCAGGCTCTGGGGGGATGCCTGGTCTCCTCTGTGGCTTCACTGGGGGCTTTGCCCCGGGACCATTGCAGCCAGCCTGCAGGAAGGCCATGCTCTCCAGCGGCGATGGCTTTTTTTTAATGCCACCCTTCCTCTGGAGCCGGGATTGCTCTGTCTCGGTGCTGCAAGGGGCGAAGGGCTCCTCGGCTGCCGTGGGCAGGTCTCGCTCTATGCCGCTGTCGGTGGAGAGCACGGAGAAACGAGTCTGCTCGCAGCACTCGCAGTCCGAAATGATGTCCTGGATCTCAAAGTTGTCCAGGTCCTGGCTTAGGCAGTCGGGCTCACAGCTCTGTGACAGCGGGCGGATAAACAGCACCAATTCCTTCCCTGTGGGCAGAAAGGAACTCAAGGAGGGAAATACAACCAAACCCCGGCTGAGTCTCAGTCCTGTCCTGGCTCCCCTCTTCTCATGCAAACCAGAGGGTCAATATCTCCACCAGCAGGTGCAAGAGGAGTCAGTCTTTCAGTTCCATTTCAATGCTGCACCATGAAGACAGCTCAATATCACTCAAATCAGGTACTTTGGGTGCATCTTGCTGCAGCCTGTCCCGCAGGGGTCCCCCCCTCATCTCCTTCACCCCTCTCCCCCCCTAATCCCCTGATCTGACCCTGACACCCCGCAAGAAGGAAGGCTGGTACAGTCAGCACGAGCCTCCACAAGCTTGGCCCTTGGGCAGTGGTTATGAAACTTACTGCCCAAGAATCAGAGCTAAATGACATGTTTTGCACAGGCTTCCCAGCCTCAGGCACCATCCAAACTTGCCACAGCCCCGCAGGGCACTCACAGAGCTGGTCGTCTTCTGTCCAGAGGTGAAAGCTGATGCTGGGGTTGGGCAGAGGGGTACCCTGCAGCCCTCCTAAGGGAGCATCGCCTGGGGGAAACAAGGATGTTTGTAACACACAGGAGCAGACAGTTTTCCTGCGCAGGTGCATGAACCCCCACCAGTGCTGTGCTTCAGACACTGGCTGAGATAGCCTGTGCTGACCCCAAGGGCTCTCCCACCCTGGTCACCTTCTGGCCAGACCTGAGGCTGTAATCACAGACCTCTGCTCTCACAAATTGAGCCATAAGAAGGTACCTACACCACCAGCGAAAGGGAGAAATGAAGATGGGGACACAGGCACAGGCAAGTGAAGGACCTTGCTTTGCTGCAGACAGCAGAGGGATTGCAGAATAAATAAAACATTCTTCTAGCACTGGGCTTCCAACACACGTGGCAGGACCTCTCTTGCCAATCTCAGCTGAGACGCAAGGGAGCTCTCTGACCCCACCATCGCTGGCTGTTTTTAACCCATTATGGCTCTGTGAGAAGCAGCGAGACAGTTCAATAGCTCCCTGCCGCCAAAAGGAGACGGTCCCACTCCTCTCCCTGCACCACGGACTGCTCCTCCCCATATCTGCAGCAGGACAGTCTCCAGCTATTACTGGGGAAAGAGCTGGGATGCAGGGTCCTTCCACCAGGAGTAGCCAGGAAGAGGGAAGCGTGACCCCCGTTTCCCTCTGGTCTACCCCAGATTTGTGAGAGGAGCTGTGATGGATAGGAACATTCGTTATAGTCTGTGTAGCCCCGATGGCACCAGGCTGGAACAGAGCACTGCCAGGGATGGAAGGAGATAGCAGTACCACTGTCCACCACACCAGTGCAAGGAGGTTTCAGGGAGTGGTGCACAGTGTCTCTCCAGTCTAGGCCATGGCAGGATGTATCTTACACCAGCAGAGCACTAGAGAGTCTGTCCAGCCTCCCCTGGTTGACACCTATGGCACCCTTTGCAAACGACAGAGACATGTCTCTGGGCCTCAGCGCGGCTGAATTAGCAGCAGAGATTGCCACGGTGCCTTTCCTCAGGTGGCAGATTTGCCTTCCACTGCCATGTGCAGTTTGCCATCCTGGACATCAGGTCACCACAAGGAGCCAGGCTGCAAGGACCTGATCCCGGTCCTGATGGATGGGATGCTGCTAAAGTGGAGGCAGACGGGAGGTGGGGATGGACAGATGTAGGAGGGCAATGGCGAGGACCGGCCGGGGGGGCGGGGCCCTGCCAGTCTGCATGACTCCCTTAACCCTCCGTGCATGGCTGGCCGGGAGCTCACCTGCTTGCAAGGAGCTGAGGACAGTGCGGTAAATCTTCTCCAGCCTTGCTGCGTGCTGGCCGCGGTCTGCGCTCGCCTCGTTTCCTGCACACTCAACTGCTGCCACCACTTGCCGGAACCAGTGTTCGACGTCGCTCGTGGGCATATCCTGTCGCAAGGAGCAGCTATTAACACCCAGAGGCGTGAAAAGAGGAGGTGTTCCACGGGCAGGGCCACGGGAGCGGGCAGAAAGAGGGCAAAGGAGTCCTGCAAAAATTGTTTCACAACAGAGGGCACAAATGTCCTCCTGTCCCCGGGGAAGACTGGAGGAGGAGAGATACCGGCTGTACCGTCTGCTTAAAGCTTTTTTCTGGCAGGTTTGCAGCTGATGGGCACTGTGCTCCCAGCTGCCACGAGCTCGGGGAGTCAGCAGCAGAGCTGGCAGCTCAAGTAACCCTCAGGAGATGGGGACAGCAAAGGTGTCCTTGGAGTGGAATCGCTGAGAGTCCCTGCAAAGTTGCCTTTCTGAACTAGACATTTGTCTTACTGTGGCCCCACAGCTCCTTGAAGGAGGTTTTGGAGAAAACTGGTTGAAACTTTTCTGCTGAGATGTTTTTGCAATGACCAGTGGCTCACAGAGGAGCCTATATTTCAGTCGCAGAGCCCAGCTTTGCTGTGCAAAACTGAAGACTCAAACTGAAGATTCAAAACCTGTAGGTCCTGCTGCAGCCACTCTTTTATATTTGAAGAATTCTTTAGTTTAACACCAGCTCTGCTTGTAGCCCAGCCTTGCAAGTAACACTGGGGCTACTGGGAATGGAGACCAGCAGTGAGGAGCTGAGGGGGTCTCTCCACTTGCCAAAAAACCTTTCCCTGCTCTGAGGTGCCCAGCAAGAGTAGGACCATTGGAAGACCACACGTGGTGCCGCAGAAGTGGTGCCAGTTACCTGGAGGCTCCTCTTCAAGCCACTGACATCGCAGCCCTCACCCAGGGCCGCCTGCATGGCGTGGATGATCACATAGCACATGCATGCCCGGGGGCTCTGGGAGACCTGAGCTGCCTCCGTGTCGGTGACCAGCGCGTTGCAGATGGCTTTGGAGAGCAGCTCCGGATCAGCAAAGATGAAAATCCTGCGTGGGGCGGGAGAATGGGAAAAGAGGGAGATGAGATGAGGACTCCCCGTTACCGACATCAGGGCTGGCACGAGCAGCTCACATCTCCATTATCCCATGCAGAGAAAAAGGGTTGCTGTTGACATTCCCCTCCTCTGCCCTGTATCCCTGCCAAGGGAGGCTCCCTGCCTCCCAGGACCATAGGAATAAATTGGGACACGTGGGAGGAATGTGCTTCTTCCAACACAAAGCTCCCCCAAGACCATGTGCTGCCACGTGGTTTATGTCCACATTGTTTGTTCCATCCAACATTAATTCAGAGCGGAGGGAAGGACAGATTTCACTGAGACTATAAAAGAAATAAAAGTAACAACCCATTAGAGGAGGCACTACTCACTTTTCCTGATAAGGGTACGGGTCACTTTTGAGACTTTGTTCGGAAATGACCATTCTTTGGTATAACATACCTAGCAAATGCAAGAAGATAAACACGCAGGAATCAGAGCATGAGAAATAACAACACAACTCACCGGAACAGCTCAGCGCTGCTCCCGGTTGTAGAAGGCTGATGGTGGGTCTGCCAAGTCGGCAAACACCCATCGCTGGAGAGATGAAGTAAAAGAGCCAAGAATCAGGCCCAGAGTTAAAAATAGTCAAGGACAAAGATAGGCCATGCTACATAAAAAGAAAACCCCTTCTATTCAGGGACAATTTCCTGTATTTCCCTTCCTTTGTTTGGTGGGTTATGAGCTTGGGAGCAGAGTCGGAAGCAGGAGGAAGAGCCCAACTCCCAGCCTCCGTCCTTGGGGCCACATCGGGGGACAGCGTTTGGGTAGATAGGAAGATTACGACACGTTTCTCAATCAGAAGGGATGTACTTTACCCTCACCTTGCTCTGGGGCAGGGAAGACACATCCACTCCACTTCGGTCAGAAACCTAATACAGTGTGCAATCACCTTGTGAATCTCGTGGTGCCCCGAAAGAAGCTCCTATCTCAGTTGGAGATCCCCCTCTCTCCACACTGAATCATTGTTTTACCAGAAGTCAGGTGAGATAAAGGTGGACCTTGGAGCTGCAGGCAAAGTGGTACTGGGGAAGAGTGATCGGGGTGAGGGCAATGGGCTGAGACTACCAAGAATGGCACTTTCTAATTTCCCACCAGGTTTCTCATATCTTACCTCCCCCTCACAAGGGAGGAGGTAAAGCACCTTGCACTGTTTTAAAGGATTACTTTTACAGACTCATATTAAAGAAAACTTCAGCAAGGAGAACTTTAATGAGCAACATAGAGAAAAAGGAAAATAGAGTTGTCCTCTGGCTTGCTTTCTAAAAGGGACTGTTCTCTGCAGAAACTAATGATGTTTTAGTGTCTAAAACCTGATGCACAGGTAGTGGAGGGGGAGCCCATGCTGGACAGCCAGCAACTCAATCTCAGATGGAGAGTTCACTTTGCAAAAAGGAGACCTCCGCAAAATTTACTGAGATGCCCAGGCTGGGAGCATAAGCACCGTTTCCTATATAGACGGAGGGTGTATATATACCTGGCCTTAGGTGGGCTGGACTTGACTCTGGTGCTGCCTACACTGACAGCAGGAGGACCCCAAGGTTTTCTGCTAGTAACTAAGGCTCAGCAGACTGAAATCAGGAGAGGGGAACCCTCCCATCCAGTGCATCCCTAAGACCCCCCCGCAAGCGTTTGGCCAGCCCCATGCAGAAATCCCTGCCATGGCTCGCTGCATTAGGCAAAGGCCAGATCAGGTATGGAACCCCCCCCCAAACCCCCACTACCACTGCCTCGAGGACCCAAGCCGTTCACCGTGCCATGCACAGGCAGAGCAGGGAAGGCCTCGTACCTGGTGCTGTCCTTTCCATCTTCAGCCTGACAGCATAGTCCAAACCGATGGTGCAGAAAGGCTTGGGCAGGGTGAGCAGCTTCTTACAGAAATCATACACTCTGCTGCAGAGCTCGTCGGAGATGCAAGGAGCCTGGAGTGAGAAAGGGGCAGTTAAGGAGATGCCACAGGCAGTGATCCCTAACGGTGCTCTCCCCACAACAGACCCCAGGGTGGGAGGGCACAGAGCTACACCAAATTCAATAGGGATTTAAATGCAATATATGAAGCAGAACCAGGCCCTAGGATAGTTTGGAAACCTCCAGCAATACCCACTGAAGGGTTGTGGGCACACATTTTTGCCAGGCTGTGGTTTCCTGCACCATCAGGCACCTAAACACCTCCAGAAAAGGGGGTCAGCTGGAAGGACCTGTCTCTCCCATACATGTCACAGGTGCCAGCGTCTCAGCCATCAAACATCACGCTGGGAAATGCACAGTTGAGTCCACCCATGGCAGTCCCAGGGCTTTGCTGGGCAGGTACTGGGATATTTCAGCACGGGAATAGGTGCTGAGTGACTTCAGGTGGTCCCTCCTGTGGCTTCTGATTTCCCTGGATCTTGCCCCAGAGAAGCCCGCGGTAGGTTACCTTTATCAAGGTGTACATCAGCGTGTGCAGCAAGGGGATGATGTAATGTCTGAAGTCACCTCGCTCCGCCTGTGGGACCAAAAGGCACAGTCAGCTCAGGCAGCACCTGGCAGGGTGCTGGGATGGGCAGCAGCGTAGACCAGAGCCGGGGGAGCCACCGCAGCCACCGAGATGTGCTGCTTAGTGACTCAGGCACACAGGGAGAGCACGGGAATCCACCCTGGCTCAGGGGTGGTGCTCCCCAGGTCAAGGTGGGGTTTGGGGTCCCTCCACAGGCCACCAGGGTGGCAGGATGTCCCTGGGGCAGACAGGGCTTGCCTGGTGGGCATCCCACGCAAGCCAAGCCTTGGGGAAGGGTGTGGGGGGTGGACCACACTGCCGTGGCCACCACCACATCACAGGGCTGGAGATTGTTGTAGGGACGTGAAGGCTCTGTGAGCTGCTGCGGGAGCATAGTTTGCACACCCAGAGCTGCGAAGCGCATATGCAGCAGTCATGGTGGGAGCGAGCGAGCGAGTTTCTAACTGAGCTCATTAGGGAGATCCTTTCTGTTGCAAAAATTCATGTGAAAATATAAAACCACTGGGAACCCTCTGAAAAAGCCTGTTTTACATTCGGTGGGTGTGGGACCAGAGTGGACAGGAAGGAGAGGTGCTCTTGCATCCCCATCCTGGCCCATGGGAAGCCAGATGGGTGCTCAAGCCAACACAGCCCTGGCCCCTCCCTGCAGCCTGGCTCTAACTGACAGCTCCAGAAATGGGAATGCCCCTGGATAAACCTGGGAAAGATATTTCCATCCCGAAGATATTTCCAGCACCTTTCTTCAGGGCTGCTGTGCTGATGGATCTGAGTTAAATGGAACTGATGGCAGCAAAGCTTTAGAAATTGTCAATAAAATGAATAGTAGTGAATTGCTGAGACCAGCTGATATTTGCCCAGAGCCCTCGAGGAACTCAAGCATGAAATTGCTGAATTATTATCTGTGGTTGGTACTGACTACTCAGAGCTGCTGCTGTACCAGAGGAATAAAAATAAATAAATAAATAAAAGTGATGCTGATTTCCAAGAAATGCTTCAGAGAGATGAAGGGAATTACAGACCATGAGGCCTGACGTCCCTCCTGGGCAAAGAAAGATAAGAGTAGCAGAGTGATAATAGGTATAACGGGGAGGGACTGACACGGCTTTTGCAGAGGAAAGCAGACCTCAAGCCTTCTGGGGGAATCCCTGGATCCATAGCCAAGGGTGATGTGGGTGTTCCTGTCTAGCTGGATTTGCAAAAGCCACTTGATAAGATCCCTCCCCAAGGCACTGACGGAAGCTAAACTGCCATAGCATGAGGGAGAGAGCCTGCAAATAGCCTCAGAGCTGCTTAAAAGGCAGAAAACAAAGATTAGGAATAACGACTCGACGTTTACAGCGCTGCAATGTGTGCACAGGGGTCCATGCTGGGCTGATGTGGCTCAAGTGTGTGGTACGGGAGTGTCGATGGAGGGAGGTCAGCCTCTGCAGACGGTGCTTGGCCCCCCCCCCCGGGGCTGAGCAGCAGCTGGCCAGAGACATGGGAACTGAGCAGTGCTGAGCAAGGTGGCTCCGTCCTTCCAGCTCGAAAGGAGAAACAGCAAAGATGCGGAGAAAATGGCATGGGGAGGTTTCTGCACAAAGGACTAGCAGGGGCTCATCACCGAGGTGGGGAGGAGGAGGTGGAGGGGGGACATGGGCTCTTCCTCCCTGCACCAGAATGAGAGGGCGCTGGGCAAGATGAGACAGGCTCATAAGAAAGAAAAGATGCTACTTCTACACATGACGTCTCATCAAACCACAAACCAGGTTGCGCCAGGTTGCTGAGGGTGCTAAAAGTTTACACAAGACCAAAAAATGACAAGACAAATCAATGAAAAAAATCCATCGCAAGGTTTCCATCAGAGGCTCTCAGGACAGGACACTGGGTTAGATGTTTCTGCTCTGACACCCGCTGGGGAGGAAATGAGTGACATGGAGGAGAAATTTCCACTCTACCTGTGACTACAGGTGGCTGGGGTGGGATGAGGGAGATTTGGGGGTGGTCAGAAGTGTTTCACACTGTGCTATTTGTGAGCTGCAAAGGCTGCGGCTGCCTTTGGCTGCTGCGGCATCAAGGAGGCTGGGGAGATTCCCTGCTCTGCCCATGGCTCGCTGTCACTTTTGGGGCAAACCCTGGTCCCTGCAGCCGTCAGCTGGGGATGAGCTACAGCTCTGCCCTGGTGTCCCACAGAGTTTTCCACTCTTTGCTATGAGCCACAGTCCCCAGCTAGGCTCAAGGCCCCTAAACACACCTTAGCCATCTCGAGCCCGGGATGGCCCAAGAGGGAGGCAAAGCCCTGCAGGTGGAGTTGAGTCCCCATCCCTCTGCTCCCCCGGGCCCCGCAGCAGGGCACACGCCACAGAGGGGCCGAGCCCGGCACTCAGGGGACGTCTCTGGGGCAGCACTCACCCTTTCCAGCTCCTTCACCAGGATCCTGACCAGGATGGAGCTGTTACTGGGATTCTGGTCGATTTTTTTATGCAGGGTCCATCGCAGCATCCCTGAGAAGTGAAAGCCAAGAGAGGTCAGGTTGCAGAGCAGAGCAGCGATGGGTCAGGAACAGCGTCTGACAGAGGAATCAGCAGACCTGGGCACTGTTGCTGCAAAAATCGTCCACTGGGATGCTACATTGACATCACCATCAGAGCTAAACCAGGCTTCTCTGCCCTCTGCTTCAATCAGTGACCCTCTGCAAGGGACAAGTCATGCTGCTGCCCTGATTCCAGATGCAGCATTGATGTATCGTACCTCTAACACTGGGAAAACTTTGGAAAAAGGTCCCAGAGATCCTAGGACTGGGGGGCTGGAGAAAAGCCAGGCAGGGCAATGGACGTGAAGTTTGTTTCCTGTTCACTCTGTTGCTCTGTTTATGACTGCCTGCTTTTACTGCCTGCCCCCAGGAATTTGGGTTCCTGCTGGTCCCAGCACACAGCACCTGAACGCTGGCTGCCAATAGCTCACACTCAGAGCAAGGGCCACAAAGCAGCTCAGTCCTGCAGATGTCAAGGCTCATTCCACACAAAATCAAATTTAATTAACTGTAAAATATTCCGCGCACTCCAAGTAAAATCAATTTTTCAAAATCAATTAAGTTTCCTAAGGCTGTAGCAGTCCAGTTGCTGGGTCAACTAGAGTTTTATTTTCCAAAACTGTAACACAGGGATTTCAACTGACTCTTTAGCGAGGAGCTAAGCAGTGCGAGGCCAAGCGATACCCCCACAGGGAGAGACGGGAAGACACCAGCTCAGAGTTCTTAAGTGATTGGATGGGGCTGTGCAGTGAGTCGGTGTCAGAGCTGGGAACAGCATCACAAACTGGCATTTGATGTCCCACCTCAACACTGGACCCCCTGAGCGAGTGAAGGGTGTAGAGGATGTAACAGCCACGTAGAGGAGGCATGAAAGCTGCTGAGGTCGGTGCGCAGCAGACACCAGGAACTTGCCAAAGATTTAGCACCTCCGAGAGCAGGTTAGGAAAGGCAGAGCAGTGCCAGGGAGGTGAGGCCACCCCGTGTCCCCCTGACCCTGGCATCATCTGAGAGAGGGGAGTGGTGGGGGGTTTGGGGCCAAGCAATGCTGCAGTGAGGCAGCGCCGGGGACAGCGGTTGCTGACCCCCAGGAGCCACGCCGGGGGTCTGCCTTACCTCGGTC